CGCAGCACGGGTTATGCTGTTGTGATGGTGCGCGCGGAAAAAACTCCCCGCACTCGATTTCTAGCAGCTCATTTCTAGTACCCTATTTTTTTTTTTTTTTTTTTCCAAATACAACACAACGAGTCCATCTCCGTCAGAGAAAAGAGTCAAAGACAGATTAGCAATGGAATCATAGCGTCAAAGAAAACTACNTTATGTGTGGCACCCTGTTGGTTGTGGATCTCCATCCATTTTACACGTGTATTTCCAGTTTGGTATGCATTTAACGCGAGGAATATGATTTGGTAAGTAATTGAGTTTGGTATGCATATGCATGCATCTGTGTCAAATTGTACCCTATTTTTGTTTTTTTTGTTTTCTCGCGGCGTCGCATGTGCCGGGTTTTGAGACCATGGGCTCTCCATTTTTTGTGGACTTCTATATTTTCGACCGACCGGGAGCACCGTTTCGCCTCAAGGCCCGCCTACTCCAGGCGGAGGCAGTGGCGGCACTGCTATAGGACGCGCGTTCGTGAGAGGCAGAACCTACAAGAGGAATGTGTCAGCATCGTGGGGAACTTGTCTAAACCGTATAGTCTACTTGTAAAGCTGTGGGATAAAGGAGTCCGCAGTTTTCGGATTGGAAAACCGAAAACCGAGACACCCTCCGCTCTCTCCCAACCAGCTTCTGCCCACACTTGTGCACTTGTCCACACCCCTTATCGTCTACTGCCTTGTTTGGAAGGAGCCGATGGCTGAAGAGGCGCAGGGGGTTCTTGAACTGAGAGGCGCTGCAGACGGACACCCGGATAGAAACGAGGCGGCAGCTCCTCCGCAACAAGCTTGCGACGCATCGGCGTCAACGGCAAGAAGAGGGTGGCTGCTGGGATGCTGGAGGCTGCTCTGGTTTGTTGGTGTGGTGGGAGTGCTGTTGATCGGGATGGACGCCCTGCTGAAAGGCCGACGGTTGATCGGGATGGACCCCCTGCTGAAGGGCCGGCGGCGCGGAGGTAAGGAAAAGCACTACTACCACACCAAGTGTTTGCATAGGTTGTGCGTGTGCAAATGCAATGGTATTGTTTAAACGCAGTTTATTGAGAAGTTGTACGAAACAACGCACGGCGGGCGTTCCCGCTCGCTCATGATTATGTGAGAGTGGAGAGTGCCATTGTATGCAATTGCATTCACACACGGAGTACGTACAAAAATGTACATGGCAGACACGAGCAGGCTTGGCACTGACTCTCTGACGAAGTTATTGAAAAATCACAGTTAATTATACTGGTTGCACATAGTTTATTTAGAGGGGTAAAAAGTTGGCTCGCACTAGCTAGTCTATATATAAATATGTTTTGGTCTTCACACGGCACCAGTGCCGTTTACTCCGACCCGTGGTCACACAGGAGGGCCTCTCTCTACCCTCCCCTCCTGCGGTAGATACTTTGCCTTCGAATTTTAATGCGAGAAGAGTTCAGCAGTCTCTTCCCTTTATGTACTCGCGAACTACGCTATCCACTAGGCCAGGAGCGGAAGCCAGGCAAAAACTCTGTTTGCAAGAAAAGCTCCCCTACGCCGGGAGTCGCCCCCCTGACCTGACCTCTAGAAGGTTTCGAGAAACCAACTAGATCACCGGGGCAACCGGCTGTAACACCGCACGCGGACCTGGTCTTGGTGATGGAAGCGAGAGATCTAATTTGTAGAAGTTCATCCATTCAAAGGTCCGAGCTTCAATCCCAGCACCCGCCACCTTTTTTTATCATCTTCCTTTTTTTTTCTTTTTTTCCCTCCTCCGTGATTTTTGATGATAATAGATTTTTGATAAAACATCACGCTCGTTCCTAGACGATATAGTACCACTGCTGTGCTGTGCACCTCTCTACACTCATTGTGGGCGAGAGGGTGTGTCGCCTCTGCTGCTGCTGCTGTTGCTGTTATCTAAAGCGGTGGCGGAAGCGTCCTGTTCAAACAATCAGCAGCAGCAGCAGCACAAGCCGGGGAATTTTTCAACGTTTCTTTCCTCTCTAGCTGATGACGATGGATGACACTCCCCCCCCTCTGATGATAGCACCCTCCCCCTCACGGCTGACGATGGATACCACCCCCCTCGCTAGCTGATGATGGACACCACCCCCCCTCTAGCGAATG